GAGGTGCGCCAAAGCAGGGACGGAAGAAAAGGGCTCCTCCTCCTCCTCCTCCTCCTCCTCCTCCTCCTCCTCCTCGGTGTCCTTCTCTTGCGCATCCGGGGCAGGGGGCTCCTCCTTTTCCTCCTTTTCCTCCTCCTTTTCTCCTTCTCCTCCTCCTCCTCCTCCTCCTCCTCCTCCTCCTCCTCCTCCTCCTCCTTCTGCTCGTCCTCCACCATCTCCTCCCCCTCCTCCCTCCCTCCTCCTGCTGCTTCTTCTCCTCCTCCTTCTCCCCATCCTTCTCCTCCTGGAGACCCTTGTCTGTCCCATCGCGTCGCTATTGGCGTCGAATCCACGTCGACGCAAGGAGTGCACATCGAATCCGAGTCCAATCCGCAGCGAATCCACGTAGACGCCGTACCGGATCCACGTCGGACCCGCGGCGGATACAAGAGAAGACCGCAATCCAGTGGATGGGCAAGGTCCTCACAGGATGCACTGCAAGTGGGGGCACCCCCCCTCGCGTCACAGAGAAGCCACGGCGGGAGGCTCTGGGCCATGCTCTGCGGTCGAGGGGGCTCTCTCACCGTGCGCTGGGGCGGAGCGCCGGCCCATGGGGACGTGGTCGAGGCCTCGGCGGGCCCACGCTGCAGAAACACCCCGACGTTGGAGGCCTGGGATCGAAGAGGGATGCTCCAAGCTGCCCAACGAGCACCACCCACACCGCGCCACCCCGCCCGACGGCGTGCTCTGGGCCCCCGCGCGAGCCGAACACGAACCCCTGGCGCCCCTCGGCCCCCCCCCCCACGCCCCACGTCCCGCGCACGGCAGCCCGTTCCCACCCTCCCCCGCGCTGCTCGAACGAATCGGCTGCGTGCAGATGGTCTTTCCGACGCCCCGCGGCCGTGGCGGCGGCAACACGTCGAGGAATGGTGCGTGGCGGCGGAGCCGAAATCAGCTGCACGCAGCAGTCTTCGTACTCTCCTCTGCCAATGCCCCCTGTTTCTTCCGCCCCGGGATGTAAAGCCCTGTCTCTTCATCCACCAATCCTGGCGTAGAGCTGTTTCGACCTGCTTGGGGGAGGGCGTCTTACTTGGGACCCAAGCAATTCACTTTCATGGTCTTTCGCTCCCCCATCCCCGCGCCTTTTCAAACAGCGCTGGGCCGAAAAGCCGTGCACGTGCGTCCAGAGTTGTGTGAAGTCCAGATGTCAGTCTCCCCTTCCATGCAGGTAACTTTGCCGGAGTCTACAGAACAACTGCCGCTTGAATGCCGTTGATGGGCTGATGCCCGCCTTCCGCGCTTCATGAAAGTGTTAGGCTGATCCTAGCGTAGACGGCTGAACTTAGCCTTTCGCGCACATGAGCCAGCTCGCAACACGTTGAAACAGTGTGGAAAACTGAACCTTCCTTTCACGTAAGAGCATCGAACAGCTCGGAAGACCCAGACGACAGGTTCAGTGAAGAGACTGGGCTTCGACATGAAGGCGTCTAGAAGAAATCGGACGCGGAAAGGTGAGGCGGGGTGGGGACAGGAGGGAATGAGGAGGGAGGGAGCAGGATGTAGCAGCGAGGCGCACGAGGGAGACGGAGGGAGTAGGAGGTAAAGGGGGGAAGGCGGGAGGAGGGAGAAGGGAGCAGGAGGCGGGAGACGGGCGGAGGAGCAGAGAGGAGGCAGGGCGACGCAGAAAGCGCCGGCTGCCGCTGGCTCTGTCGGCTGGCGAGCGGAGGCGGTGGCGCGCAGCATCGGCCGCTTGTGTGCACCGTTCTGGGACGGACCTCCTCGCACGACGGGGCCCCGGTGGACATCGGATCCAAATGGGTCTGGTGCCAGGGCCGAGGAGAGAGGGAGGAGGAGGAGGGAGGGAAGAGGAGGTAGCGAAAAGAGAACGAGGAGGAGGATGAAGAGCAGGGCGGAAGAAGGAGGGGAGGCGAAGGAGGAGGGGGCCTGTGACCGGGGGAGGCAGGAGGGCAGGGGAGGGCGAGCGAACTCGAGACGGCGCGATTGGGGGAGGAAGGGGGTGGCGGGAAAGACAGGGCGGGAGAAGAGAAGGGGAGGGAAGAGACGAGGGCAAGGGTGAGCAGCCGATCGAGGAAGCGACCGGATGTTAGAGACATTCTGCATTTGAGTGTATTATACTGGCGGCCACTAGGCGGCTCTAGCCGCTGGCCGAACCCAGTCTACGTGCGACCCATGCAACTGTACGCAAGCTGGTGGTGATCCCCCAATCCCCCCCTTCCTACGTCCCTTTCTCCCTCGCCCCCGCTACTCTCTTATTCCAGAGATTGCCTTCTCGAACTTCATGCCTCGCCGCTCCCTCCCTCACCATGCCTCCATGCAGCTCGCACCAGCGCGCGCTTCAGGAAGACAAGGAGTGTCTCGCCCAACACAGAGACACCCTCAGGCCTGGCGCGGGTCTGCAGCTCAGATCGATTGATCAGGAGAGGGGAAGATGACAACGAGCGGGAAGGATGTGGATGGAGCGGCAGCTTGGAAAAGGGAATGCTCGCAGCAGGATGCAGATGGCGGGAGACTGCAAGCTGCAGCACTGCGCTCAGAAAGACATGCCAGGATATGAGAAGCTTTTGAGCAGAAGAAGCGACGACGAGTGATCATATAAGGAAGAAAAGGGGACACTGAGGGGAAACTGGGAAAGAGCGAGATGGGAATCCGCCACAATGAAACACGCGAGAAAATTACAATGCAAAACGCACTGCTGAATGCACCGCCGCGCCGCAACACCCCACACCATCCTCCTGGCCATGAGGGTGCCATCCACGGGAGTACCCTCGCCCTGTTTCCCTTCTTCTTATTATTATTATTCTTCCTGCTCCTCCTCCTCCTCCTCCTCTTCCTCCTCATCCTCGTTGCCGTCCTCCTCCTCCTCCTCCTCCTCCTCCTCCTCGGTATCGTTCGTCGTTTCCCTCTGACCCCCCCCTCGTCCTCGTCCTCCTCCTCCTCCTCCTCCTCCTCGTCCTCCTCCTCCTCCTCCTCCTCCTCCTCCTCCTCCTCCTCCTCGACTGGCGTCGGCGAGGCGAACCTGTGAGCTTGGCGGGCTCCTGGCCAGGATTCCCGGCAGTGGTTTTCGTGGGACGCCGATTGCGTCCAAGCCGCGCTGAAACACTCCAGCGGTCCCTGTGGGCCTCCCGAAAGCCTGGAGAAGCCTCGCACAATTTGTCTCCAATCCGTCTCCTTGTCTTCCTCCTCCTCCTTCTTGTCCTCCTCCTCCTCCTCCTCCCCTCCCTCCTTCTCCTCCTCTTCCTGCTCCTCCTCCTCCACTTCATCCTCATGTTACCTGTTGGCTGAAGCTTGTTACCTGTTGGCTGAAGCGTCGTGCCGACGCAGCCCCCCCCAGGGCCGGGCGGCTCTGGGAGGCCAGTCAAACCAAACAGCCAGGGTCACTGGCGTGACTGGCTGCAGGCAAAATATTCGCAACATCTAAAATTTGGCGGCGCGCACAAGGGGGTGGAGGGAGGGGGAGGGCTTCTGAGAAGGAGGCTGCTTCTTAGAAGGCGCCGGCCTTACATCTATAGATAAGGCCCGTGCCTTCTAAGAAGCAGGGGTGCTTCTCAGAAGCCCTCCCCCCACTCCCCACTCCCCTCTGCGCGTGGCTGAAAAATGGCCCTGTGACGTGCCCAACCCATTTGCATCAAGTGGCAAGAGGAAAAAGCCCAAACTTGCTAGGACAATGACAGTGCAGGCGCCGTCATACGTTGTGCAAGCTGCATGGGATGCGCCCACGTGGCACGACTCACAGGAGAATTATCCCAGTGCGACCCTACCTAGGAGTTGGAACCCCTAGGAAAGCAGCATTAGTAGTAACAGTAAGGCTAAGCTAAAGCTAAGCTGAAACTAAGGTAAAGCTAAACTAAAGCTAAGCTAAAGCTAAACTAAAGCTAAGCTAAAGCTAAACGAAAGCTAAGCTAAAGCAGAGCTAAAGCGAAGCTAAAGCTAAGCTAAAGCTAAGGCACATCTAAGCTAAAACTAAGGAAAAAATAAGCTAAAGCTAAGCTAACGCTAAGCTGAAGCTAAGCTAACGCTACGCTAAATGTAAGCTCAAGCTAAGCTAAAGCTAAGCTAAAGCTAAGCTGCAGCTAAGCTAAAGTTAATCTAAATCTAAGCTACAGCGAAGCTACAGCGAAGCTAAAGCTAAGCTAAAGCTAAGCTAAAGCTAAGCTACAGCTAAGCTAAAGCTAAAGCTAAACTTAAAGCTAAATCGAAAGCGAAAGCTAAAGCTAAGCTAAAGCTAAAGCTAAGCTAAAGCTAAAGCGAAAGCTCCCAGGGGACTGGGAGAACCGCTCCCAGGGGACTGGGGGAACCGCCCGGGGCGCTTTCCACCGCCTGGCCCCTTTAAGCTAGAGAGTAAGAACCCTTCTAGGCAGAGCCTAGGTAGGGAACAACAGAAGGACGAGGAGCGAGGGCCCAGGCATGAGGAGGTCATGGGGGTGGGAACGGAGGGCAGGCGAAGGACGCGTGGGGGGCCGAATCGTCAGCGCGGCAGCAGCTGAGGAAAAGTGGCAAGGGGCGGAGGACGACGACGAAAGTGACGGGAAGAGACCGAAGCGTCGGTAGCACGCTAAAGATGCAGCGTTGCCACTGGTGGGAGTTCCCCATCCGCTGCCGTCGGAGATGTGGATCTAGCTTGGACGACCAGCTGTGCTGCTGCCGATCTTAACGGTGAGTGCGCTCATCTGGATCAAAGAATCGTGCAGAGATTGGGTGTAGGAGTATTGCAGTTGGTGTTGGTGTGACTTCCCCTGTTCGTCGTAAAACAAAATTGGACGACAAAAACTCTGCAATTTCTAGGTGAGGAGGTAGGCGCACTGACGAGCCGCTGTAAGGCCGGTCCCATCGGGAGGCGTGAGCCTCGTGGTTGTGATCAGTCAGGGGGAGGTCTCCTGACGTGCCGTGGCGTGGTCGGGCTGGTGGAACTTGAGGCACTGCTTGTATTCATCCTCAAACGGTGGCCACGGCGCTGAGCCACCAGCTGCTGTGGTCCCTTGGACTGTGCCGTCGCTGTGGGCCTGGCTGCTCTCGTACCGCTCGGCTGTTGTTCCGGCTGGAATAGCGTCGGGGTTCAGTCTCTGCCTGCTGCTTGGGGGCGTGATTGCGCTCTGGTCGTTCTCCCCCGAGGGGCTCTCCGCCGGCTTGGCTTGGCTGCTAGAGTCCGCTGTGCCCCTGGCGGTGGCTCCGCTGGCGGAAGCAGGCTGGTCTCTGTCGCTGCTTGTTGGCGGTGTTTGTTTGTTGTCAATTAAAGCTGTGCGCGGCCCGCTTAGCTTCGACCCGAAGGGGCTCGCTCTCGCCCCGCGGATCAAACAACTGTTGGCGGTGTTTGTTGAGTGCGACGCTGTTGCTGCCACGCTGCGAATTCTGCTGAAGCATGTGCCCACCTGTTGAAGCTTTGGAGCTCTCTGCTCTGGTTCCGTTCCTCATGCGGTGCTGGTGGCTCCTGCGCGGGTGGGTGGGGCAATCGCTGGTCGAGTTGTCGGTCGGCTTGTCCGTCGGTCGTTGCATCGGAGTTGGGTGGGCAGGGTTGTGGTGCGCGTATGGCTGGACTGCGTTCGGCTGCTCTCTGCTCCCGTCCTTTGTCGGGTCATTCGTCATTCGGTTGTCAGTCTTGTGCTTTGACCAGCTCGGATATAGGTTGCAATGCTGCTGCCGCAGTTGTGCTGTGGAACCACGTGAAACCAGATGGAGTTGGCATGGAAGTCGGGTTGTGACGTATGGCCAGCTTAATGGGCAGGAGCATGCTCCGCCGCTGTGAAGCCATTCCGTGTGGTCCCAGGTGGTCGTCTGACTCGCCGTCGACCTGGTAGGTCAGCATCACTGGAAGCTGGTGGTTGGCGAACTGGGCGAGGAGGGTCTGGCGCTCGGTCGGGCGGAATAATCGCTCTTCTCGTTGTCCGTCGCACGGGAAACCGCAGTTCAACGAAGCCCCTACGTAGCTCACGACCTGGTCGTACTCTAGACGTATGTCAGAGTCTGCCCCGATGTCCAAATCGTAGCGGTTGTTCGCGATGCTCATGTTCACGAAATACTATGAGATGATCTTGTGGATCTTGATTCTGAAGTCTACGGGTTCGCGGCCATGTGGGATTATGCTGATGTTTTCGGCCAATCACTCGATCAGGTCCTGGTGTCGCTTGCTTTGGTCGTTCCCAGACTTCATGTCTGCTCCTCGTCTTTATCCTCCTCGTCCTCCACCTTCTCCTCCTCCCTCTTTCTCCTCATCCTCTCCCCAGGAGGCCCCGCGAGACACAACAACACGCAAAGCATAAAACCTCCTCCTTCCTTTTCTTCCTTCTCCCTCTTTTTCCTCCTCCTCCTCCTACTCATGAGCGGAAGTGTCCCCCCCTGCTCTCGCCAGTCTCACGACAAACTTGAGACGCGAGTTTGGGGAGCTCGAATTTGGGGAACTCGACTTTGAATCACGGTGCCATCAGAAAAATGGTGGGACCTTGTCAGTCAGAATTTTGACGCGAACTGTGAGTGCGAACATATCACACGCTACGCCGGGGGCGTAACAACAACAGCGGCAACCCCGAGATTCAGCAAACTCGAGCCTCACGGTGCCCCCGTCACCACGAAGGACACGGATCCTGAGGGAAACGGGTCCAGGACCCCGAGATCAGCTTTCGCCCCCGAGCCGCGTCTGCCAGGTGCGGGGCCTGGGGAGGACATAAGGAGCCCCCAGACGGAGCAAATCCTCACAGGAAAAAAAATCACACATACCAACAAAACAAACAACACACACACACACACACCTGAAAACACACACAGACTCTGCGTGTCTTTCCAGAGAGTCTGTGTTTTTCACCACCGTGTTCTGTTCAACGTGTTTTTGTCCCACAAGCGCTTTCCTCAGGTTGAGCAGGGACCGACCGTCCCGGCATTCCTATAGTCATACCACGAAATGTTCTTAGAACCCACAAATGTTCTAAGAACAAAACATATTCTTAGAACATAAACCCGATGTGTTAAAACACGACAGTCCCATCCAGACATGTTCTAAGAACACTTCGTGGGAACCAAAAGGTTCTTAGAACATTGATTGGTGGGGCTATAGGCGAGCCGGGACGCTTCGCCACTGCTTCCCTCAGGACACGTCTGCTTCTCCGGCGCGCTGTTTTTGCTCCCTCTGCAGGGTGGCGAGGCGAGCCACGCGGTCCGCACGGCGCGCAAACGGCCGCGGAGGCGGGCAGAGGGGGAGATAGGGGGCCACATGCGAACCCTACCCCTACCCCCCACGACCTCTGAGGGGGAGGGTGGGGTTCACTTCGTTCGGGAGCTCTCGAGCAAAGTGAACCCCACCCTCCCCCTCAGAAGTCGTGGGGGGTAGGGGTAGGGTTCGCATGTGGCCCCCTGGGAGAATCAGGGACCCTGCCACTCCGCTGCTCCGGCCAGCCTCTCCGAGGCGTGCCTGGAGCTCTTCTGCACCGGTTGTGCGGGTGCCGCCGCCTGCCCACCTCACCAGTCCCGGCCGGGCCCATCCTGGGCCCGTAATTATTAGGGGGGTTGCGCCTCCCTTCGCAGGAATGGGGCCGTCGAGACAACGGCGGCCCTCCCTGGCATTTCCTTTCGTCCTTCCGGATGGCTCTCGTCGCTGCGGCTGGGTCCGCCCCGAAGAACGGATCAGGATGGACCACGCGAGGGGCCCACGGACGGACGTGTACCAGATTTAGGGCTGGGCGGTTGCGCCACCGTGGTCTCAGCTTGCCCCCCTGCGCTCCCTGGCCGAGCCAGGAGGGCGTCTGTTTTCCGACCCTGGGCCTGGCAGGGATCGGCGAGGTGGCCAGGGGACGTCGCCCGGATCTGTGGGCGCGCCAGCTGGACGACGCAAGCGCCACAGACGCCGAGCCTGCCACAGGCCCACGCTGGGTCCTGGATCGATGCGCACGCCTGTCCCTCCCCCGGGCCTGGCCAGAAGGGCGGCCGGCTGCGGGCGGCGGCGCTGGCAACAGGGCAGCCATCAGAGCTCGCTGAAGAAGCCGCCCGAGGGGTTCCGCCTCGCGGGCCGGACGAGAGGGCGGGCATACGGTCAGGAACTTGTGGATGGCGTGTCGCCGCGGCGGCCCCAGCGACACGCTGTGCCCTGCAAGCGGATAGCGTGTCGCTCCGCTACGCTGGGTGGGACGCTCGGAAAAGGCTTGGCACGTCAACGCTGGAGGGCCCGCAAATGGATAGCGCGTCGAGCCGAGACGTGATAGCCGCGCCAGAACCGGCGGAGCGATACGCTGTCCAAAACTTCCCGGCCGTATACCCAGATGTCTGGCGCCTCAAAGAAATCGAGGCGGCCAGCAAGTCGCCATGTTTGGCCCCTGAACGCCGTTTTCTGGGACTCGAAGCCGACAACAGAACGACTCGGGGTGAAGATGCGGCCCTGCATGGGGGAGGGGTCGAGAGGTCCAGGGTGCCAAAGCCTGGACAAACATGCTAGCGCCGGATGTGTGGTAAAGGCGGGGTCAGCGAGTCCGCTGCAAGTGGTTGCTCGACTGCCTCCCGGCGCCACAGACCTTCTGTCGCAGCACGGCAGAGGCAATCCGAACGGGCGCTCGCAATAGTCGGGGTGTTGAGATGGGGGACATTACTGCCTGCACCCTTGACGCAGCAATCCGAGCCACATCCGATGCTGTCCGAAATATCCGAGGCCATTCCATGGCTATCCGAGGCTACCCGAAGAGATCCCAAGACAATCCCAGGCCATCCCGAGGCCATATGGGGGCGCCGAAGAAGTCGGCAGGAGCCAGAACAGAGGACGTCCCTGGCAGCTCCTGCGCAGAAGCCGGCCGGCTGCACGCAGCAGACGTGGCAGCCCCCCTTGCCCCACCCCGCCCACTCCCTTTCGTCCGCCACGTGCCTCTGCCAGCCTCGCATCCTGCCCTCGATGGCGACGCCGTTGCGGTACCTCGAGGGGGCACCGAGGATCGAGGACACACTGGACGTGCCCAGGCCTCCCCTCGCGGCTGCGCCGACCCGGATCGGCGCTGGCCGGGGCTCGGCCAAGGACCGCGCCGCGCTCCCATGGCCGGCCACGCACTGGCCGGCTCCCGAACCTGGGCCGCACTGGCCGGCTCCCGAACCTGAGGCGGGACCGGCTCCACGCGGCTCCCAGACACCCGAGTCGGCCCGAGGGGATGCGAGGGGAGCGGCGGACCGCCCATCGCGCGGGGAGCCGAGTTGGGAGGACCGGCTCAGGGGAGCGCTGCTTGCCTCCAGGGTGCCCTTGCTCTGTGGGGCTCCGACGGCTTTTTGCGGTGGAGGACGTGGCGCCCCCGGACCGAGCACCAGTGGACGCCCTGGGGTCTCAGGCTCGGGTTTGGTTTCCGAAACAACGACCTGGACTCGGCATGACTCGACGACACGGTGCCAATGCCTCGGCGATGCGCCTCCGACGGGGCCACCCCGCGTCCCCGGGCAGGACGGAGCCACCCCGCGTTCCCCGGGCGGGGTGGGGCGCCCCTGCCCCACGGGCCCATGTCGGCGAGGCAGGGGCGATCGTGGGGGGGGGTCCTCCTCCTCCTCCTCCTCCTCCTCCTCCTCCTCCTCCTCCTCCTCCTGTTTCCCTCCTCTGAGCCAGCCGCCCCCCCCCCCCCTCCTGTCGGCGCCCGTGCGCTGACCCTGGACACGTGCATCCCCCCCCCTCTCGGTCCCCTCGGCGGGCCTGACGCGGGGACCTCCTGAGCACCTCGGCACCGGGGCGAACTCCGGAGGCCTCCGAAGAGGCGCCCGCCGTCGGCCCACACGGAGCCGCCCACCCCCGCGGACCCCCTCGCCGAGGCGCGCCCCCGAGGAGAGGCCGAGATCGAGGCGGATCCTGCCGCAGCGGCGAGGGCTCCCCAGAGAGGCCGGGCAAACGACTCCAGAGACACCCAGAGAGCCTCGGCACTAGATCGTCGTCTTCCTCCTCCTCCTTCTCCTTCTCCTCCTCCTCCTTCTCCTCCTCCTCCTCCTCCTTCTCCTCTCCCCCGAAGACTCCAAGGTCGTAGCCTGCCCCCCTCCGCGCATTGTTTTACAAGCAACCGGATCCCCGAAAGGTGATCAATCATGGGTGTTTCTCCACTCCGAGTCTTCGGTGCTTCCAGGATGGCGCTCCCGCTGCAGCGTTGGCTCCAGGGCTCTCGCTCCTTCCAAATCACACTACCGCTGCAGCGCTGACCTCATGTCTTCGTTGTGGATCTTCCAAATCGTGTTCGCGCTACAGCGTTGGCTCTCTTTTTACGCCTCCGCTCTTTCCGAACCGTCCCTTTGCATTTGTCGTCTTGCGTCAGGCCTGGCTTCCCTCATAACCTCTTGTCTACATGAGTCGCGTTCTCGACCAGCGCTGGCTCTACCGTCCATTTACATCATCCGTCCTGCGTCATGTATGGCTTCCCTCAGAACCTGCTGTCGAACTTGAGTCGCGCTCTTGACCCGACGAGGCTCTGCCGTGCTCTTCTACGCCGTGGCACGCCGTGTACTACCATGCATCTCATGCCCCCTCGGGGTCATTGCCCTGCTCGGCATCCGACTGTCCAAACAGAAAGGAGATCTGCGCCATGGTAAGGGATGGGAGGAGGGGTAGGTCGTTAGATAAGACGCTTGCGCACCCAACTTGCCATCCTCCCCTTCTCCTCTCTCCTCCCTCCTCCCTCCTCCTGCTCCCCCTCCCGTCTCCTTCCTGGGTACGGCTTCGCCTTCTTCTTCGCCTGCTCGTCCTCCCAGAACTGAGCCGAGGCCTCCGCCGAGCTCAAGCCGTCCCACCCGGGCGGGACGTAGCGCTCGCCGTCGTCGTAGACCCACTTGCCCCGCTGCAGGCGCCACTGCGGCTCCGTGCTCTCGTTCTGTCTGCTCTTGCGGACTTGCCTCGGACGACTGGCCACGCCGACGGCGGCGATGGCGAGGGTGACGACGACGGCCACGACGACGAGGGCCGCGACGACTGCGACAGTGACGGCTGCAACGGCGTCGGCTGCGACGGCTGCAACAGCGAGGACGGCGACGGCTGCGGCGGCGACGGCTAGGACGGCAACGGCTGTGACGGCGACGGCTGCGACGGCGAGGGTTGCGACGGCGACGGCAGCCGACAGCTGCGACGGCTGCGATGGCGACGGCGAGGGCAGGCGACAGCAGCGACGGCGAGGTGCTCCTGGGTGCCCCGACGATCGGGTCCTGCGCGAGACGGCCCTTGACGTCCAGGTGGTGCACGGGGGACGCCCCCGCTGTGCGTCCTGCCTCGTCTGCGCTGTCCAGCGCCCTCTGCAAGCGGCGGAGGTGGTCGTGCTGCAGAGAGCCTCGGCGGCGGTGCTTCTTGTAGGCAGGCCAGGCCCATGCTGCACCCATGATCGCTGTATGCGACCTCATGGCTTGGCCAGGGAGGCATACACACCGATCCTGAGCCCAGGATCGGCGTTACCAGGACCGGTGCATGTGAATAGCTGCCGCCCTCCGGTTGCAGTGCCGGAGAGGCGTCCAGGGGTGCCCTCATCGTCTCGAACGGAGCTATGATCCAAAAGCCAGAAACCTGGGGATCGACCCCGCCGATCGGAGGGTGTTGCAGGGTGAAAAAAGTCGGACGCGAGAAGGCAGGGTGCTTCTCAGGATCGATCCGCGCCCTCTTCGAGGCCGCGCAGAAGCCTCCTCAGAGGGCAGGGCGGCGTCTCGGGGGGCGGCGCTCTCCAGAGAGCCCCGCGCCCCGCCCCCCTCCTGCGCGCCGCTGAGAACCAGTGGACGAGTGAGAGTACAGCGCGTTCATGGCCGTGATCTGCGCGGCCTGGTTTCTCAGCCCCAGCTTCTTGACATGCGTCCTCTCGTTAGTGGAGAACACCTGGTGGTCCCCGGAAGCCATGCGTGCGCTGATGTTTGCATGTAATACGAAGGTGCCAGTACGCCTTTGCTTCCGCTGGCGGAGCCGGTCTCGCAATCTGTTTCTGCCAGCCTCCGCCGGCCTTCCGCCAGCTTCTGCCGAGGGCGAAATGTCAACTACTCGATTCCTCGCAGAGGAGGCCCTCTGTGGAATTCCCCAAACACCTGAAGACTCGGCGCGGAGGCCGAAAACCCAAGCCCAGTTGACATGGCTGGCAGCAGACACGTTCTGCTGCTGGCCCTCTCGAACCTTGAGCCAGAGGCTGTGGGCTTTGCTGGGTCAGGCTTGGCAGGCGTATGTGAGCCTCATGGCCTCAAAGTCGGCAGTAGGGGGGAGCAGGATAAGGAGGGTCAGTAGGACGTGGAAATGGATGAATAGACGAAAGAGGAGGCGGAGGAATCGGAGGAGGAGGCTGAGGAGGAGGCGGAGGAAGCGCAGGAGCTCCTCTCCGTTTGGATACGCTCAATTGGCAGAACAAGGAAGAGGAGAAGCGTCAGACGCGGAGGAGGAGAAGCTGATGGGACGAAGGAGGAAGGCCTGGAAAAGAAGGCAAGAATAAGGTGAGAAATCGAGAAGAGACCGTCCTCCTGCTCTTCCTGTCCTCCTCCGCCTGACCCTCCTCATCCTGCCTCCTCCCACCTCCCCTGCGTACATACACATGGGGAGGATGAGGAGAAGGACGATGCTTAGAAAGAAGAAATCCGCCGTCACGATGCTGTTCATGACGTGGGCTCACGGACACCAGACCCCCGACTCCTGCTGACCACCAGTCATTCACCCCGGATCGCTTTCCGATGTCGGCGGGGCCGAACCAACGCTTCAGAAGCCCAGGCCGAGGATAAACATGGCCGCCCCCGATCTGCTCGAGACCCCGCTCAGGGCATACCCTGGCCCTGGCGCCCCTGGCCTCACCCCAAGCTGAGCCGACTGCCCGCCCCCCCGTAGGGGGTCTGAGGATGAAGGAGGGGCCCCTCCTCCTCCTCCCCATCCCCCTCCCCCTCCTCCTCCTCCTCCTCCTCCTCCTCCTCCTCCTCCTCCTCCTCCTTCTTCCTCCTCCTCTCCCCAGACATCAGGCAGCCTGGCCCCTCGAAGATCGAGGCGGCGGGTTTGTCTACTCGCTTTGCCTCTGGAGGCTGGTTTCGGGGTTCGGGACCTGGCCGTGGGGAAAGGTCGAGAGGTGCGGGGGGCCACGCATCGAAACGCGCCGGATGCCTGTGCCCTAATGATGAAGAAGGAAGAAAGAGGAGTTCCTCCTCCTCCTCCTCCTCCTCCTCCTCCTCCTCCTCCTCTCCTCCTCCTCCTCCTCCTCCTCCTCCTCCTCCTCCTCCTCCTCCTCCTATTCCTCCTACGACTCCTCCTGGCCGTTGGGAGCCGAAGAGCTGGACGCGACCCGGGGAACGAATCGGTATGGTGCCTAGGAGGGGTCTGCTGACTGGCCAATGGTGCCTGAGCAGGTTTTGGCCGGGGGGGGACCGAGACATCCAGCGGCTCGAGAAAATCGAGACGGCCAAACGTTCAACCCCGGAAGGCAATTGTTCGGGCCCGTGGATCGTCAAACAACGACCGTCTGTCGTGTGTAGACAGTGGGACGTGGAAACAAGTGGCCCGCATGCCATGGCTTTTGCACAGTAAGGAGGGGGGAGGAGGAAGAGGTGGAGGAGGAGGAGGCGCTCCGAGACGGCCCCCAAGATGGCTCAAGAGAGCTCAAGACGGTTGAAGGCGGCCCCCATCATGCCAAGAGAGCCACAAGACGGCCCCAAGTGCTAGGGGGAGGACGGTGCCGTTGCGGTGCTTGCGTTCTGAGATCAGGCGGTCAGCGCGGAGGGGCCGCGCAGGTTGGGAGAGGGGGATCTGCGCTGGCTGGGTGAGAGGGGGGTCGCGGTGCCGGTGCCGTGCGTCCATGCCGAATCAAAATGGCCGGGGCGGAGGTGGCGCGCTGTCTGGGGTGATGGGGAGCTGGCCTGTTTGGGAGGGGGGGTCAGTGCCGGTGCCGCGCGGGCGAAGCGAAGCAGCCATACGCAAAGCGCGCGTGGGCAAGACAATTGGCGAGCGTGCGAGCTACGCCAAACGCGTTAGCTGGCGGACAGGAGGCGCCAAACGCGCGACAAGACAGACAGCTACGACGCGCCAAATGCGCGCCGGGAGGATGAGGAGAGGAGGAAGATGACGACGATGTGTGTTTCAGCCAGGGCGCACAGGCAATGCCATTCTCATTCGATAAATTTCTCTTCTGCGTTACTGGCGTCCTTTACGAAATTGAACACGAACGATCTCCAACGTATCGGGTCTGCCACTGCTGCCACGAAAGACTCCACAGTCTCAAAGTGGGGTCTCACAGGTTTATGTAATTCAGCCGCCCACTCCTGTTTGGGCCGCCCCTGCTTGCGCTCGCAAGCCCGCGTCGCGGGGAAGACGGTGTCCGGCTGGAACGTTGGCTTCCGCAAAATATGATCGTTGGGATACCGACCAATTTTCCCAAACAATAATGGCTGTTGTTTGAACAATTGGGAACTGTACGGCGCTTGCTCGCTCTTTTTCAAAACGAACTTGTCGGAGACTCTGGATATGAATGCCGGAGGTATGTGCAAAATCTGTCTGACACACCTGGCTTGGAAGCCGTCCAACCGCTTCCTGTCCGCTCTGGTAAGCCACGCAGAACTGAGGGAGTACATGACCTTACTGGTGATCATCGCGTCGAAGATCATCAGTTTTCTCTTGACACCGGTCGAAGTGCGTTTCCAAATTTTACAATACCTTGAGAACTCGCCCCACGCCGTCCCGAACCTTCGATTGAGCTCCCCGGATATTCTGCCAGTGTTGCTAATTGTAGCTCCCAGGTAGACAAGACGATCTTGTGGCTGTATAAGCGCTCCAGAGGGCGAGTATAATTCTATGTCGTTCTGCACATGCAACACTTGGAATTTGTCCCAATGTAATTCCATGCCCGCTTTTCCTCCAGCAGTGGCGATTGCGTTCAGCAGCTCTTGCATGTGCTCTTGGTGCTTTCCAAAGATCAGAGTGTCGTCCGCATGCTATAAGACCGATACATGTCCATGTTCACGCGCTGTCTTGGCCGAGTCGCTCAACGTCGCGGATGCGTCTTGTATTACCACTGTCATCACCATTACAACTAAAAACGGGGACAAGGGGCACCCTTGCGCGATGCCAGACATCTGCCGCCTCTCGCGCAAACTCTGACCCCCATCGGCCACGCAGGAGCTCCTGTCGGTATCAATGCTCTTGGTTATTGCGAGAAGCCGAGCAGGGAGCCCAAACCTCTGCAGCACTACAAACATAGCTTCCACATTAATCGAATCGAATGTTTTTTTTCCAGTCTAGCGCAACGAAAGTGGCCCTTGACTTTTTCCCGGCGTTTGCTAATTCAATGTACCTGCGGACCACGTGGATAGCGTCTGTCGTGCCCCGTCCTCGGCAGAAACCAAATTGAGTAGCAGCCAGCCGGTCTTCTGCCCCAGCGTCCTGTAGTCGCCGCAATAACAAACTTGCCGCCATTTTGTACGCTACGCACAATAAGCTGATCGGTCTGTAATTGTCGCAGAGGTGCACTGGCCCTTTGCTTTTGTAAATCGTAGTCACCAAAGAATGCCGCCAGGCTTGCGGAACCGACTCTTCTAACCAGCATGCGTTGCATAATTTTGCGAGCCACTGTAACCCCCCGGGCGTTTGGGCAACTGCTTTCCAATACTCCGCCGGGATACCGTCTGGCCCGCCTGCCTTGTCCCATTTTAATTGTTGCACCACTTTTCCAACTTCCTGAATAGAGAACTCCCCGTCGTTCACTGGCAGCGTCGGCCCCAAGGGCTCATGTGATATTATCTCCGCAGGCCGTACTTTCCATTGAATTGTTTCCAAGAGTTCTGCCATGGTGTCCGCTCGTTTGTTGCTCTCCACCAACTTCCCGGCCATGGTTTGCAATCTCCCTTGTTTGCGTTGGCGCCCCCGGCAAAAGGCCCGGATAGCATCCCAATTTCCATTAGCAATGCGCTCTTCAGCCCAAGCTGTCTTATCCATTTTGCATGATTGCCGTACTTCTTTTAATCATTGTCTTTCCTCCTGCTTGTCGTCCCCCTGTCGGACGAGAGTCCGCTATTCTATCAAGCCAAGTGTGCGTTGACTAATCCACGGCCTTTTTCTTTCCGCGGGAGCTGATGGGAGCACGGCTGTCGCAGCTTGGGCTGCTCGCGCACCTTTCTCCCACAAATCCTCTATGGATTCTGGGCAGCCGGGGAAATCTTCCAATGTTTCAATGAATGTTTCAGCGTATTGTATTCGTAGCGTTTGGTCCCGAAGCGCCTCCCGGGCAGCACCTGGGCGCGTTGGTCGCCGAGCCTCCTCCGTGCAAAGTGCCAGCGAACATGTGACGAGATAGTGATCTGTCGCAAGAGGTACATCCCTGTGGCTCCGCAGACCCCGTATTTGAGCAAATGTGTGGGCGTCGAACAGAAGCAAATCCAGGATGTTGTGCTGCTCTTCTGTAATGGTCCCGTTGGAAGTAGCGCCAGCTTCCAGAAACGTTATTTTTTCCTCCAGCGGTGTGTCGAAGAACGAATGGGCGACAACCAAATCAAGCCCATCACACAATTCGATGAGCAGATCGCGGTTCGGAGCGTCCACTGGCTGCACGGCCTTCCGCCCCCAACCGAAATCCCCAAGAATGTGCTCTTCTCCGATGCATGCGCAACCCATTCTTGCCTAGAGGTCCCCGAATATGACTTTCCCCACATTTGCGGAGCACGCCCTGTATTCGACATCGAGGTCAGAATAAAATGCAAGCTTGTCCGGGGTAGGCTTCGGATTTGGGGGGGCGTACGCGCAGAAAACACCAAAGATGCCATTCATCGTGCGGATCTTGATCCAAGCGAGTCTGTCTGAGACCTGCTTGTACGAGCGGACTCGTGCCCATATTCTCTCTGATATAACAAACCCCACTCCAGTGTACGCTTGCCCGTCCCCTTCTGCAC